CTCAAAAAGTTATAGGGAACAGCTACTTTTTGGATAATAAAGCGTTATCCATCAGAGCATTAGAAAATTCGCTTGCCTTTCTAGAAGATAATATTCCAGACCAATCTGGAAATGCTGTAAATTTTGCGCTAAAAATTTGATCGGAACAGTCAACCACGACTAAAAAAGAACACAAATTAAGAGATGACGAGGGTACACGTGATGGTGAGGATAAGAAAGGGAAATCAACTGACTGGAGGACGGGACTTAAACGCGCCGGCGGTGTCAAGACTGGCAGCCGAATGCATTTCGACACACCAGACGGTGACATCCGCCGCCACTTTCGCGGCGAGACCAACCTATGGTAAGGCCGTGAGGGCATGGCGCACGTCTGCCGCATCCGCCATGCCCTCACGGCGCTTAGAAGAACGCTCAGACGAGAGCCCTGTCTTCCACAAATTCCCCAAACATCCACAATTAAATTTCTGCAGTATTCCTTGAGCAAAGTTTGAAACTTTATCCAAATATTACATAAAACTTGGAGCAATTGAAAGTCATGCTTTTCAGTGCTATAATGACTTCATGCCTTTAAGTGCTATAATGACTATTTTTGTTTTTAGAAAAGTGTGGTTTTGCGAGGCAGTTCACTGAGCTGTAAAGTGTACATTTATTAAGATAACAATATATTCTAACAAAAGGTTTATTTCGAGGTCAGTTCCTTGCTGAAGTTCAGTCCTTCCACAGAGAATTTACTTGCTTAAGCCACATTCGAGGCAACATCGCCTGGAATGACCCTCTATCAAAAACACTGCTCTCTCTAAGATGAGACAATTTGAATAGATAGGAGTACTGAGAGTATCAAAGCCCTGAACTACCGATAAGGCTATGTCCGGGAAAAGGGGCCCTAGGATCTCAACGCCAAGCAGAAGCAGACGCGCATGGCACGCCATCGTGCAAGTTCAAGGCCGTAGAGCTAAGAATAAGCGAGAAAACGCTCAGAATGTTGGGAAGCTAAACCTTAGGACGGAAGTCTCACCCAAGGTATTGTCCATTTCGGCGGCAAAGTGCGCATGCCGCCGCAGTATCGACCATGTACTCCTAATCGACCTTGCGTAAAGTGGCAGGAACTTTTCACCTGCCCAAATTCGAAATAAAGGCCCTTCAAAAATAGTGGAGAAGCCCAATCAAGCGAAAAGTAGAAAGTGAGTTTTTCTGAGACCATTACGAAAGCGATTGTCCCGATAAAAATTCTGCAGGGGTTTTCGATCAGTGTCCAAGTTTATATGAATCAAATTCTCAGGTTTTTTCTCCTACTCCCTTTCTGAACCTTCTCACGCTGCTCTGGATTGCTGCCATATACTAGTATGTATAGTCATCGACTGAATAAAAGCGATTTTACAACGCTAACATAGAAGGAAAGCCGTCTGCCGCATGATTACAGATATCTATCGCGAGTGAGGAACGAGCCAGATATCCGCCTAGCCGCCTCATGCACTTCATCTATCTACTTCGCTATTGGTGTCAGTGATTTAACCAGAAGCGATGAGGATGAAGCGACTTAGCGGTTGATTCTGACGCCCACTCTTTCTAACATGATATCTGCACACCGCGCGCGACAGTCGACGACATACCTTGTTGCTTACTCACCAGTAGAAGGTTCTTCATAATTTACTACTTCATATTCATCTAATCAAGCTGTGAAAGAAAATATCTGGAAATAAAAAGGAAGGCTTGTGAAATAGCGCCTTTCTGGCATAAGGGGTAGGAGCCGTTCGGTGGCGCGCGTCTTGTGCAATGCGCATAAGCATGCGCATTAAGCATGCGCTGCACTTACGGCGCGCACCATTTTTGATCCGCTTGATCCGCTTCATGAATAACGCGCGCTCAATAGTTTATCTTTGGCGTCGCGTACAGCGAATTTGCGCAGCCATACAAAATATTTCTTCACCTACATGGCGCCAAATGACAGATTAATGAGCGTGCGTTTTTCACAAAGCGGATCAAGCGGATCAAGTGGAGTAGAGAACTATATGTCGCCCATAGGGGCGGTCCCCGCGGCAGATTGCAACAAATACGCGCCCTTGCACGTGCACAGAGGTGCGTCGTTTCCGAAGGGACTCCGCGCAGTACCCTCCCCCATTCGGCGACATACAGTCGCTTCATTTTATATGATCATGTGTGCCACTGCACACACAGTCCACTTTGGCGTCCTCATCCTGGATTTGCAAAAACGCAAGAGACTTACCGATTGTTATCGTTTACATCAATTTGAGGTGACTAGTAACTAAAAAGACAAGAAAATGCTAAGAACACCTTGGAAACACTTACCTGAGAAAAAGTTAAATGCTTAAAATAACATACCGTAACCTGCGTCCTTTAATAAGCTGGAGCACGTTTTCATGTAGGGACTTGCGATATGCGAGCGATAGGCTTAGGGCATAGTGCCCACGATACTGTCGCGCTGCGATTTCTGAATTACGACAACTGTTACGCACTCGTTGCATGTCTATGCGTCTGCTACGGCGGTTGTGGTACTCGTCCGGCGCGACGGATCGCGGACCCTTTTTAGCTAGGGCATAGTTCTGCAGCGACAATCGCCGCGATTTCGGTAAAACCCAGCGATGTCGCGTCGCTCGTGCTGCACGGGCGACGCGCGATATCGCTGAGGCTGGAATGAGATTTTGAGAGACTTTCATAGATATGCATTAATGTTTAACTCGTTTTTGTTTGAAGAAAAAGGAAATCATTGTGTAAAAAGTTGTGTAATTGTTGGGTGTGCCGTTTGCTATAGTATATATACAGACCAGTGGCGTACCCAGGATTTCGGCTCGGGGGGGGGGGGGGGGGCGCGGCAAAAATTTTTTTCAAATGAAGGTGCGTGGCGTCAGCCACGCACTCCGAAAAAATTTTAGGGGGGCTTCTCAAAATTTTTGCGGGCCCCCAACCCCTGAAATCTGGAAAAAATTTTTTATAAGGCTAATTTGAATTTTTAAAAAATTTTAAAAATTATTTTAATTGTTTACAAAAATAAACAAGTCATTTGCACATTTTGTAACTCATACAAGTAACTTTCAAAAATTTCGCGACCCGTTCTCGGGGGGGGGGGGGGCCCTCCCGCCACCCCCCCCCTCGGTACGCCACTGATACAGACCTAAACTAATTTGTTTCTTGGTGCTTTTTTTTTGTAAGTAATTGCTTTTTGCAAACTAAACTTATAATTTGTCATTTCATTTCGCATGGATAATCGCACGTTTTGCAATTCGCTAATTGCAGGAGAATTTGTTATTGATACTAGTGCATCAGCACAAAACGGTTATGTTTGTGTGTTTCCGCCTTTCCGTCTTCTAGTGCTTTGCTCGAATTATTTTCTAAAAAACTACTAGTAAGTTTCTGCTAGGCGCTACAAATGCCCACGTCAACTTTCCAATATGTTCCTTCTGACTGCTTCTTCCAAAAAACTTAGCGAATAGTGTCCTAGTTATAGCTGTTAGCTTTCAAAGGTCGACATTCGTAAGCGAGAATTTGGCAAAAAGTGGTAAGCTTGTGAGGAATGGACTTGATGAAAGACAGACAAATGAAAATTTTTGTACTCGAGTATCATCACGATTGGCATGAGCAATGGTGGATGCTGAGAGTGAGTAAGCGGATTATTCCATGAGAAGAAATTCCAGTCAGCTTTTGTGCAAAGACTTGGGATCGCGTGCACTATGCCCATGTCCTTTCGAAAAGCGATTTTGTCGTCGCGATTTCGTCGCCCAAACCATCCAAATCCCCGGCGATGAAATCGCGGCGACGAAATCGTAAACACTATGCCCGTTCCCATATGCGACAAAATGAGCGGATAGGAGATAGACACATTGAACGGATGGATTCATGACTGTTTGCTGCACATTTCATTGGATCACTAGCTAGTAGGATACAAAACGTTTAGATAAGATATATTCTTGCCCAACGTGGTCCCTACACAACCTTTTTTTATGACAAATATCAGAAATTCCATGCATCTTTTACAAGAAGGAAATAAATGGTTATTTGTAACGAATTTCGAAGCCCTGCAGGTTACGGAACGGCACTGCAGCACTAAAAGTAGACATTGGGATGGAACACAAACACTTCTAAGCGTGAAATTTTCAGAAGCTCTCGAAGTTATTGAGAACACTATCCATCAGCTGCTGAGGAAGTTGATAAACTTCCCCCTACATTCAGATAAAGGTATAGCAAGCTCTTGCACATATATGTAGTTGTTGGAATTGTGGTTGCAACTATAAATTTACACAAATAAAGTAGAAAGAGACCCTCCACATCTATATAAAGCAGTGTACGATTGAGAGAGTGGCAACTAACATAGCCGAAACACTGGAAAACCACGACTTTCATTGAGAGTGAGAGGGCCGGGAGCATCGCTTTCTTAGTCCTTCAAGGCAATGCACGCAATGAGGTCCACAACGCGGCATGAATGATCAAACTCATTGTCATACCATGAAATAAGCTTGACAGCTTTCAAAATTGGGGTTGAGAGAGATGCAAGCTTCCGCATCGAAGATTGAAGAGTTGCGGTCACCGACGAAGTCACTCGACACGACCTGATCCTCTGTGTATCCCAAGATACCGTTCACTGGACCCTCAGAGGCTGCCTTGATGACCTTCTTATTGTCATCCATTGTGGCCGCTTTCTCCAGACGGCACGTGAGATCGACCACTGAGACATCAGGAGTGGCCATTCCAGTAAGTTCTCCGTTCAAAGCGGATGACCTTGCCAGCAGCCTTGGCAGCACCGGTAGATTCAAGCATAATATTCTGGCCTGCACCAGGTCCATCACGATAGTGCTTTCCAGATGGGCCATCGACTGTTTTCTGCGTTGCCGTGGTGGCGTGGACGGTAGTCATAAGTCCTTCGATGATTGTGAAGTTGTCGTTGATAACCTTAGCAAGTAAAACAAGACAGTTGGTGGTGTAAGAAGCATTACTAATAATGTGGTTTCTGGCAGGATTTTTTGGTTTTTGATTTTTTGACATTCGTAATGGGTGTAAACCTTTTCGAGGTTTACACCCATTACGAATATGGTGCATCTGCAGATGGAGCTGAGATGACTACCTTTTTAGCGCCTCCTTTCAAGTGAGCAGATGATTTCTCGATGGTAGTGAATACACCCACAATGATTTGACCATTGGTTCTTCAGCGGCCTGAAGTTAGTACTAAACTTTAGTGGGTCCTGCGAAGAAGGCCTGTGCGGCGGAACCGAGTACTGTATGTTATTTTGAGCATTTAACTTCTTCTCACTTACCTGAAGGCTTGTTTCTCCCACGAATCCAGGATGGGGACGCCAAAGGTGAATTGTGTGTGCAATGACACACATGTCATATGAAATGAAGCGACTGTATAGTCCTCCACCCGATCAAGGTGGTCAAGTATGGCGCGTGCCATACTTCATCCAGTCCATATTGGTCAGTTTACTGATTTAACCAATAGCGAAGTGGATGAAGCGTATCAAATAATCGAGTGATGCGTGCGTATGAATTCAGGAATGACTCGACGAAATAACCCCGAAATTGCTGCAAAGCACACGTCTGCATCTTTATGACACAGGGTGAAATTCCCGCTTTGGCCAGGATACAAAAGCCCGAAGTGACAGCTATACCACCGAGGAGGTCGCCGAAGATGAATTGGGCCACGTGATCCGTCGGATCCGTCCGGGTGGACTTTGATCGCGACGTCATTTGCGCTGACATCTTCTCGCACGGGCTGCTATAGTGTTTACACTGCGGTATGTAGCATTCTATCTCTTTTCTGCTGCTATATCTTGAGCGGATGAGGAAGAGTCCTTGAGAGTGCGAACTTTGTTCTGGTAGAGTGGGAATGACACAAGTTATCTGTATAGTGCACTAATTATAGTGCAAAATGCGCTTTTACAATATGTGAACTTTGTACCCTCGAAACTTTGAATCTGCTGTTTGCGCATTTATGATTGAGTCCTAAGAACCTTTCTTTCAGATATTCTCAAAAATTGAGCCGATCACTGTTCTAATTATGGAACTTACTCCTATAACCTTGTCTTATCACTGCTCCTCGTGGTCAACGACTTGTTTGTGTCGTTCGCACAACCAGGGGCCCATCTCCCTTCCGCTCCGTACTTTGTCCCGACATTGTTGTGTGATAGTGATCGTTGATGCACTAGCCGTATGAACACCGCGCTTTTTCAGTTCTCCCTTCCAGTTACTTCAGCTGCTTCTTCCCAGAGCACGTTGCTTGTTTATATTTACTCAAAAAGCATTATTGATTACCCTCGATGTTGTTGACGTCTGTTCATTGCAGACCCAAACTAGTCGTCTACAACCTCGTCGCAACTTGCTGGCAACATTTGATCTGCAGTCCGAGTTTGCTACATTTCCAACAAAAAAGAGACAACAACCATGGCTGAGGCCCATAGTGCCGTTGCACTTTCGTTCACCGGTGAGTTTTGCATGAAAATATCTGCAAAAACATCTGCAGATCCGCACAAAAATGAACTTCAATTTAAGCTTGATGAAAATATTTTTTTAGATACATTTTGCTATCGGAAGTTTATCAGATGTTTGGTGATTCGTGTTTGAAATTATTACCCTAATTTCACGCGTATAAGGCGCACTTTTTCGAATTTTCAAGCGAGCCGCTCAGCTCTTCACTGTATTCCGGAAAGAAAGCCTTACATCGCACGATTCTCTCAAGCATTATACAACACGTTATAGGGTCTTTTGGTTGTAAAGTCCTTTGGCTTGTCTGGGCTGGTCGATTTTGGAGAGAAAATTCCCCGCGCCTTATACACGTGTAATTAGGGTACTTGATTTTGATGACTCATAAACGAATATATGATTTTGAAAATGAATAATTCATTTCTCAAATCACTGTTGAACAATTTAAATCACCTTCATCATTCGTGTGTGAAATATGTAAAAGTAGCGTAGGTTTCTCCCTTATCAATGTAAATTTTGAAAAAAAAAAGCTGATTTGTTCCTCTCAAGTTCTCATAGTTATTCTCCGTCTTCAGCTTAAATCTTTTGAATCGTGAGTTGTGCCTGATACCCTGAGAGGTGGAACATGATAATTTCCTGACTTAGAAGTGGCCGTAAACTTTGCGAAATTATCTGTGCGTGTTCGCATTGAGAATTCGAAATTGAACCATGCGCAACAAGAGTATAGAATCTCTTTCTCAAATCTGGTTTAGTCGAAGGAAAGTATTAACTAAGTGGGATTTTCAACTGTTCATCCCAACCAATCAACTTCTTTTTTCGTTCTTCCCTATCCGTGGTGCGATGGACTTCACCCCAATCGCTCTCATCGAGCAGGTTCAACCTCATAAGTAGTCAGAATGAAAAAACTAAGGCTTTTGCTGGTAATTTAAAACTAGTTTAAAAGGTGCACAGTTGGAATTATTTTGTAAGATGTTGCGCGATCGACAACTGTGGAAGTCCTCCAAAATTCGAACTATAAATTTACCTTCTTTGTTATTTGCAGTAATAATATCCCATTCTTAACTCCTTTTGTACAATGCTTTAAGTTCTGAAAATGGTGGACTTGACCGCTCTCTCAGCCTGATTTCAGTAAAAGTGCGCTTGACCTTCGTAAATTCGAGCGATATACTTATGACTTTCCTATGACTCTCTGCTTTCCCACCATGGTTCAGGAGCCGCACTGCGAACCTGCTGCGACACCGTCTATTGGGGCCAATAAAATCTAATGACCATTTTAAAAGAAAGACCGCACCATTGCAAATGCTTTTCACATGATACTGATGTTTAAGCTGAGGATAAAACTTAGTTGAAGATTGTTCGCAGGTCCTTTAGTTGACTTACTAAGCTGGACATGCGGAGAATTTCTTCACGCTCTCAAGTCACTGTGCCGCTATCAGTCGTTCAGTTTTTGAGGACGAGTCAGACAACATGTCGCAGATCGGGGTATTATCTGCGCTGGTAGATGAACTATAGTTTGAGTCGAAGTTGACTCGAAGTTTGCTACACTCATAGTGGGTTTTAGGACTTTCACATTATATTCATACTTTGTTGAAATATTTGAAACTATGAGTATAAATTAAAGTCTTTGTTTCGAGAAAAATATTTTCGATCCTTTTCAGTCACTCACGACGGTGTATCAGTGAGTTATGACCAGGAGCTGCTTCATGACATATGGCATACGTTCCAAAGGGGCTACAAGAAGCGGATTGCCCGCTTCAAGGTAATAATTAGCTTTTATGAGTGTTAAATTTGCAACTTCTAATTCAGAACAACTTTATGGCCGGAATGTTCCCAGCCAATCGTATCACAATGGCAATAGTAATTATGGCGATTTCGGTTCTTTCCGTTTTCCATCGTGATTTGTCATTCGGAATACTTCCATTCATTGAGAATCACATCCTGTACTTCTTATTTGGGTGAATAGATGTTGCCTTTTTTGCGCTTCCATCTTACATGCATGATTTAGGGAAGGCATTATAAGCTTTTGCATTTCTCTTCTAATCTCTGGAGCTTTCATTTGGTTTGTGCTAGTGCAGGTCATTAGACTCAGTATCAAACTACTGTTGTCCTATAAAGGATGGATGTATGAGCAACCTGGTAAACCAATCTCTACTCCTACAAAGTTGTGGCTGGTAAGTTAACAAATGATAAAATAGTAAATTTCTCAAAAATACTGTCCACTTAAAAAAATTGGTTGATGTCTGATTTTTGGAAAATCAGCCCAAAATGAAAAAAACTTTTTTCTTCATCCAATAGCTGAATTTTTCAGAGAAATTTCTACTTTTATTGTAGGGCGTTTTGAAACTTATGTCCAAGTCTGGACCTATGATGCATTCATATCAAGGTGCTTTACCTCATCTACCTCTTCCATCTCTCAACGATACCATAGAGAAGGTAGACACTTCGAAATATGATGATCTGATTTAAGATTATGTGAACAATTTAGCACCTGCTATCAATGAGACCGATTCTAAACGACGAGGAGTTCGAAGAACTTGAGCATCTATCAGAGGTTTTCCGCAAAGGACTCGGTCGCAGACTGCAACGATATCTTCAGCTGAAGTCATGGCTTAGCACCAACTATGTAAGAATTTCCTATTCTCCTGCTTACCAATTCTTTCTTACTTTACCCCCTCAGGTAACCGACTGGTGGGAGGAATTTGTCTACATGCGCCAGAGAAGTCCCATAATGATCAACAGCAACTACTATGGCTTTGTGAGTTCCCATGATGTTTTCCCACGGAAGTTCCAATGCAAAGAAAATTTACAGGACACCCTCAATGAACATCCAACTCACAATCAAGCCGCTCGCGCAGCAAATGTTACCTATACAGCTTTACTTTTCCGTCGGCAGGTTGAAAGACAAGAAGTTACACCGGTAATTTGAAGCTTCGTGTTTTTGCTTAGACAGTGTGTTATAATGTATATTTCAGTTCTCTGTCTCTCCACGTACAAAAGTGCCATTTTGTACAATGCAATATGAACGCCTTTTCAACAGCTGTCGAGTGCCAGGAGAGGAGGTAATAGCATAGCCATGTTGTGAATTGGCCTATACCGCTAAGTTGATGGTAGAGCTCTTGTCTTGATAGGGCAGGCAAAGATTGCTGTACTTTTTATCTCAAAGCGATCAGCTGTATTTGCTCTTTTTGCGATACCAGCGTTTTTAAGTCTTATGACCGTCAAATCTGAGCTTCATTAGCAGTCATTTGCTAAGTAGATCATTCGTACGTTTGGAGATGGAAATAATTATTTGAGCGAACCAGACAAGAGTTCAACTTATCAATCATGTATGCAAGCAAAATTTGCTATCGTGATTCGCTGAAAGAAATTTCCAGAAATTTTTCAGTTTGTGAAAACGCTTAGTCTTTTTAGGTCGATAAATTCCTTCACTGGGATGATGCTAGACATGTAGCTGTATACTACAAAGGCTGCTGGTTCAAGGTGATTGTACATAACGGAAAGAGGTGAGACATAATTTGTACCTTTCTCGCTTTTGAGGCCTGAGGTCCAGAGTAATGGTGAAAGATATTCTACAAGAAGCTTCATTTTTATAATTTTTTGTAAAAACCGTTTCATTTCAGATTGCTGGAGGCATGCGAGCTTCAACACCAATACGAAGCTATTCTCATGCAAGATATTGAGCCTGAACCTGCAGAGGTAATATTGTAGCTGCAGTTTGCCAGTCTCACTTCAATGCAAGAATTCTTATTAATGTGTTTACAGAGACATCTTGCCGTTCTAACAGCTGGTGAGCGAACTCACTGGGCTAAAACTCGTCGTGCTTATTTCCGTTCCGGCATCAACAAAACAAGTTTGAACGACATTGAGCGCGCTGCCTTTGTAGTCATTTTGGACGATGAAGAAGTGTCGTATGACAAGGTAGCCTTTTGAGTTAGATATGGTAGTGCTCTGTTCGCATATCGCCTACAATCCCTGACTGAGAATCGAAATTTGTTTATGATGTAAATATTAGGTTGGAAGGAAATGAATGTCGCATTTTGTGCTATCATGCGCTGTCGAAGTAGGGTGAGCACCGAAACAAATGAATAGAGTATCGTTTTATAGAAGAAAGCAAGTTTTGTAAGAAAATCATCGGACAGTTGCAACAAGTTCGACCTGCTTAAAAATTTGAAGCCAAAATCTAAGTTGGGAACGATGTTAATTGCCGGGCTGGCAATTAACATCGTTCCCAACTTAGATTTTGGCTTCAAATTTTTAACAAAAAAACCCGCATGCACTGTTTGCCTTCACAATTCGCAAACTGGAAACTTATAAAAAATAATAGATATGAAATTTATGCTCTACTGCCCCGGTGATATGTGTAATTCGTTGATGTTCTTGTAGGAATAAGCTTGAAATACTTAAGTTTCATCTTTGAGACCCTTTTTTGACGTTTTCAGCTAATTTTTGCACCTAATTTGTAAGCAAACACAATCTATCCGATTCTCCTGTCTAGATGAAAGCATAGAAAGAAATGATCTAAATTTCTGTGTGCTGATGGACAAAAATGGTGGTGGAGTATGCTCGAGTTATTGAAAGCCACCAGCTATCGTTGCTCTTGCTCGCCACCCAGGTTTCAATAGTCCGGAAATCTTAAAAAATCGTATCCTCTTTCGAAACATTCTGCCCGTTCTCACCTTACTCAGGGATTCAAACACCACATCGAATGCATAGTTATTACATTTTTTCCATGTCTAGAGATCGAAAAAAAATTTTAAATTTGTGCTGGGCGTTCTCACACAAGTAAATTTCATAATACCAACCTTTGCAAGCATAACCATAGATTTACAGCCTTCTACAAGAGTTTTTTTTGGAGAAATACCAAATTCATCATAAAAACTCCTAAAGGAAAATCTAAATTTGACAGTAGCAGAGATTTTGTGAAAACAGATCAGCACTGGATTTGAAATAACATGTAAATTTTCGTCGTACCTATGGGAAAGATACAGCAGTTATTCATGTGGATATCTGATGTGGAATGTAGATTCTTGAGCAAGTTAGGGGTCTCCGCTGGGTTTTTCTGAGAGGTGTTTTTTTCGATTTTCTGGTCATTTGGAACCCTTGATTTTGGCTTCAGCTTTCATGGATCAAATTTGTTGCGGTTGTTTGATAACCATCTTGCAGAGCTTGCTTTACCCTATCATATGATACCCCATGCACTTTTTGGTGTACACTGCTTCGCTAGCACATGATAGCACAAAATGCGACATTATTTCTTCCTGACCTAATAGTTATGATGATTCGCTCTCATATTGTGATGACTTTTCATTTTTTGCACATTTGGACAGCAAGATTTCAGAATGACTCAACTAAACTAGATCGTTGGGCGCATAATCTTCTCCATGGCAAAGGATATAACAGATGGTTTGATAAATCATTCAACATGATCATCTCAAAGAATGCGCACGCTGGAATCAACGCTGAACACTCTTGGTGAGTTGTTGAAACAAAAAAAAAAACTGATTTGCAAACGCTTATAAATTTCGGTTTATATCCTGGTTGTTATTCGCTTATGTTATGTTTTAAGGGGTGATGCTGCCGTCATTGCGCACTTTATGGAGTTCATGTTGCTGAAAGACATTGTGATTTACGGATATGATGAGAATGGTAACTGTAAGGGTGAACCGAGCGTTTTCGTGAAACCTGAACGAATCAAGTGGGATATCCCGGAACCAGCGCTGGTGAGCCATACAGCTCTTACAACGAAACCCTCACCATCAACAACAAAATGTGGTTTTCTGTTTAGAAAGCCATTGATATATCAATGGATGTCGCTAAAAAATTGATTGATGATGTCGAGATGGCTCTGCTGGTCTGGACTGACTATGGCAAGGGTTTCATAAAGAAGCTGCGCGTATCTCCAGATGCTTTCTTGCAGATGTGCCTACAGTACACTTACTATAAGGTGAGATTTGACTAGGTTGCCTGTTCCTACAGTTGCTCTTTAGTACCATGTGCGCCTTGACCCCCCAATAATCTGCACCTTTACTTATAGAATCAGAACAAGTTCTCGCTTACTTACGAAGCGTCCATGACAAGGCTATATCGTGAAGGACGTACCGAAACTGTTCGGTCCTGTACGACACAGTCCTCAGCATTCGTTCTCGCCATGGTTGACCCCAATAAAACGGTAATCCTATAGCACCAGCGAAGGTTAGGGTAAACTTACAAGCACAATTTTAGAAAGCCGAGCGCCTTCAACTTCTAAGAAAAGCATGCGATCGTCACCAAGAACTCTACCGAGATGCCATGTGTGGTAAGGGCGTGGATCGACACTTGTTCGCTTTGTAAGTTTCAGTTATGCAGTTCCGGTATTGTACTTTTGTTAAATTTGTTCTTAGGTACGTAATCAAGCGCTATCTTGAAGAAGAATCTCCATTCTTTGACAAGATCTTCCCTCCAATGTATCTACTTTCCACAAGTCAAACGCCTCTCAACCAAGTGGACAGCGAGATGGTTGGAATGAGTGAGGCACAACGACTGAGGCTTACAACAGCTGGAGGTGACTTACTTTTTTATTAAAATTGTGGTTACCAACAAAGAAGGTGCCTGGGGTGGCCTAATCAAATAAGACACCCTACTGTAGAGAGCATGGAGCTCTGTATTCACGTCTATTTCAGTATCTGCAAACCCAGTCTCTGCGAGATATTACGAGCATTTTGATCAGAGTCGAACTAGAATGAAACCAGTCGTTATTTCCAGCGCTAAATAATCAGCACTTAGTGATGGGTATGATTGAATTAAACTGAAATATCTGTATGGTGTACAACACTGCTCTTCCTGAGTTCACGCAATTCATGATACTTTAACTAAGCCGCAAATCCATTTAGCAATGATTAGCGGGAGTGAACCAAGCATGACGGGTGCGTTTTGCCCCAGCTCCACTGCCTCCTCTTTCTTATAGCCCACTAGCTGGCTTACCCGGCTCCGCCGTATGTTCCGAATAGAAAATTCCATTTCTCAACCGATCCGGACGAAACTTGGCACACATACACTTCGGGCCCCGGCGGGTGCCACAGTCCACTTTTCGTTATCGATCGATGTCGATTTTATCGATTTTTTGCAAAATTTGAGCTAGTGGGCTGGAATTTGGCAGGCAGCATGCTGATCACCCCCACGGGGGTGATCAGCATGCTCGATTACCCCCCTGTGCCAACTCCCAGCCCTGTAGCTCAAATTTTGCAAAAAATCGATAAAATCAATATCGATCGATGATGAAAAGTAGCCTATGACACCCGCCGGGGCCCGAAGTGTATGTGTGTCAAGTTTGGTCCCGATCGGTTCAGAAATGGAATTTTCTATTCGGAACATACGTACAGACAGACATACAGACATACAGACAGACAGACAGACAGACAGACAGACAGACAGACAGACAGACAGACAAACAGACATTCAGCTTTATATATAAGATTGTCCAGAAAAGTAGTGCAAGTGGTATTCGATGTCCTCTTGTAATTTACTTCTTGTGAGAAAGCCTCCTACTAAAAATCATTCTTTTGTAGGACAGGATCGCCTTACCTTTACCCTTTTTGTTCTAGGCGGTTTTGGACCTGTTGCTGATCGAGGTTATGGGGTCTCATACATCGTAGCTGGTGAAGATCAGATCTCTTTTCACATTTCCAGCAAAAGATCTGCAGACAATACGGTGAGAATTTTTTCTTAATTCGTCCAATATACTATTAAGGTATACTTTTGCCTACTTTCAGAGTTCGAAAGAATTTCGCGAAGAACTCAAACGCTCCCTAATAGACATGAGGGCTCTTTTCGAGGAAAAGCCTAATTAGAGACTCAAAAGTCACGGTTCCCAGACAGTTCTTACGAAAAGAAATGAGAGTTCATAATCTGACTAGTTTATCGAGTACGTATATTACAGGTAGACATTTGAACATCATGTCATGTTATCAAAAATACCTCGAGTCGACTTTGCATTGTTGAATTAGTCTTTGTGATTACTGATTACTTGCTCAGTTGTTGTTATATCCGCCTCAAGAATTCTCGCATGCAACATTATTGCTGATTTGAAGACTTGGTATGCAATTTGCATTCTCTTGTAAATTTAACTGCGCATAATTCTAAGTGTGACTGTAGAGATGTTGCTCAAGTATGTTGTGGTCATTTTCTTTACTGTGAATTGAAGACGATAAATTATCAATATGATGTTATGGAACGGAGCTATACATCTGATTGTGGTGTGTATCTGTTGGAGGCAGTAGCTTCAGTCCAGAAAAACCAAGGGAGTTATAAGGAAAGAATAGGGGGAGGGAGATTGCAAGGAACCAAAAGTTGTAACAGTTTGAAGTGATCATTCCAACCGTTCGTTATTACTCTCATAAATGGATCAGACAGTCGATCTGTGTCGATCTGTTTGAGAAAGAGAGAAAGAGGACTTCCTGTTATAAAAACGAAAAAGAAACAGAGTTTGGACAAATGTTCCAACCGTGAGCAAAAAACACGCCCGATAGCATTTGTGTGTAATCGCAGAACCTGAAGGAGCACACGTCTGCTTTTTGCAAAAAAAGTTATTGTCTGAACAAAGGTTCGCTGACCAAACGCTTTCTGTCAAGCTTTGCAACACTTGACATGAAATATCATAGTTTTAACATCCTGAGTCTATTTGTGCATTGATCTCGTTCCGCAAGCAGTAGTATCACGCGCTTGTCCAATTCAGATCTCATTTTTGGGGTGGACATCTCTATCCTAGGTCTCACTGACAGTGCCGCCAACTCGAGCGGTTCGAGCTGCGTAGCCGCGTCGTTTGGGCTCCGAACTGCGCTCGCGAATATCGTCTGATCATTTTTACATACAAATTGAGCGTGGGAGAGTTAGATGCGGACTTTATGCTACCTATTCGTGTAAAATGCGAGAGGAGGGTTTTAGCATTAAGGGTCACATTTTACCCCCAAAAACAACCAGGGGAGCTGAAATCATCTACACTAGGTTAATCAAGTTTGCTGATCTCAAATATGAAGCTCGCACTTCACCACAATGCTTTTTTCATGAGTTATGCTAGATAGACCTTTTTTTATGTTCCTCAGAAATTTGAACCATTTGAAAAGTGTTGAAATCACAAATCGTGTAGTGAAACCACTGTACATGGAAACCTTGACACAATTTTCCAGATTTCTTTTGAAGTGGAAGGTAATAGGTGATTTACCCCAAACTGTAAATCTAAGTCAAAGGCAGCTTCAGAAAATGGTATCTGAAAGTAGGCAGAACACTTATTGGGGGAATATCAAAGATACTTTTTAAGATACCCAGTATATAAACTTCTTGATCTTGGTGCTATTCAGTGGTTCAGTCATACGTTGTGTTGTTATGCAATTACACCATTCAACTATTCTAGGAAAGTGAAATGCGCCTGAGCAGCAGGCTATGCTCAGCTTTGCTGCACTTTCACAATCCAACTTTGTGGCCAGCCGAATTGAAAGCGGGTGTGCTTGCTGGTTGTCGAGTTATCCCGAACTTTGTGACTGAAGAGGAAGAAGCTGAATTGTTGCGTGAAGTGGAACCGCATATGAAACGATTACGATATGAGAAAAATCATTGGGATGATGTGAGTTGAGTTCTTATGCTTTTCGGTTTCTTAGGCACATATACTTACTTTTTTCTAAATTAAATATCTATTTTACCACTTTTCGCGTATTGGCTGCGGCAAAATGATTTTGAAGTACTAGAAGAGCTGGTACTTTTCCGTTATCCGGATTGCTGGGGAGGTGCGAGAGCTTCTGCAATACTCAAAAGCTGTTCAGCGATTATTCATACAAGCAGAACCATCTCAGAAGTTGAGAACACCTTGATAGCTTTTAGCAATGGTCAAAGTAAATCCTTTTCTTCAAATTGTTTCCACCATGCGAATTTCGCCAGGAAAGGGTGTAATCGATGACTTGAAGTGCCCGGCTGCTGCTTGCTTCGCTTAGATGATGGATCAGTAGCCTATTTCTCTGCTTTGGGCAAACCTAATGTGTTTAGTAAACACAGAACATTATTTATATGATGTTAAAGCTCATTTATGAAATTGTTGACTAAAAATGGGGTCATTATCGAATAGAAAATAGACTGAACTTACGTCGATAGGTAGGCTAAACATGTGAATGACATGTTGATTTTTTATTACACGTGGCAGGAGATTGACTCTACATCCTGTGAAGTTTTTACCAGATTTGGCACAAGAAAAAAAGCATTATTCTTTTTTGAAAAAATGGGTCCGGATAACGGAAAAGTACCGAAGAGCTCAGAATATGAATTGCTCTGATGGCTATTTCATTAAATTAATTTCTTCGCGTTATGAATGTTCTATCGTTCCGTCAATCTATGCGTTAAGCTTAGGAGAACGTTCATTGATCTTTCAATCAATGAACATCTTCCTAAAGACTGATACTAATCTGGTCAGCACAATTTATACAAGTCATTTTGAATCTCCAATTGCAAGGAAGGCTCCTCCTCAGCTTGTAGTGACGTTAAATCATCGTTCTTTAGAATGGTCAGCTTGCTCATGTGAGAAAGCTTTGGTGAGACTATACCAAAAATTTCAAATGCCTAAAAATTTACACCTTATTATTCGAAGGACTCAGCTATATTACCATTTACAGGCAATTCATCTGTATCGTGAACGTGAACAACGCAGATGGTCACCAGCCAATGAGAAGATTATTCAACGCATTCGGTATGTTTTGCAAATTTTGTTTGTTATCACTTTTTTTTTCACCTTAGCGAGTTGAAATCCTCACTTTACAGTTTAGGGAATTACATCATCTCCGTTCTGGTGATCAACCGCTGAGTTTACCAGAGAAGTTCGTTTGACCCATACTTGAAATGTCTTTGCGCATTTTGTCGAAAACTCTCATGCTATATCATGTGACCATGCGAGGCCTGTCAGAACAACACGAATTGTGTACTGGCTGAGTTTCAAATCAGAGCCCTTTCTAAATTAAAATTGGCGATTCGGTGAGGCATAATGAAATTCCTTGAGTGGAATATAAGTAGCATATAAGAATATAAGTTGCTGTTGGTTCCATCTTAGGAACCTGAAGTGAGAAGGCGTACTAATAGGGGCTGTACTAATTTTATCAGGTAGGTAATTCGTTATCTGCTCTATTTGTTTTTAATTTGTTTGCTAGTTATAAATACACCATATTCTATAGCGCTACGTCTTTCCCACCTGATGCCGAACATTTGACTTCTGTCCACATTCTCGATCTTCACAAGGATGGTCTCATCAAGCCACATATCGATGCTGTTCGGGTAATAATCTGCTTACATTGGTTTATGTAATAACCACTTCATTTGTGAGTATTACAGTACTGTGGCGATGTAATCTCAGGCCTTTGTCTTTTATCGGATGCTGTCATGCGATTACGACATAAAGATAGAAAAGATGAGCTTATTGTAGACATGTTGGCTCCTCGACGTGGTCTTTATCGAATGGGGTAATTCGTTTTTTTAACTTCGATATTGTAATCCTTTACTCATTTCTAGAGAAGTGGGTCGTTATGAGTTCACACATGAGACGCTGTCGAATGAGGAGTCATTTTTTGAAGGAAAGAAAATAGAGAAAGTTAGGAGAATATCGATTATCTGCCGAGATCTGCCACATCCTGAAAATCGTGCTGATAATTCTGCTATCAGGATGCAACCTATTCCTGAAGCAGCCTAATTTGAATCGTTGGTGACTGGTGTTTCTGAAATGGGTGTCCCCTTTGAAAAGGGTTAGCTTTGTTTGGTTTTAATAGATATAGTGTCCGATGCTAGTTTAGTAGTTAGTTGTTCTAGCCGTTATAGTGTAACTAAAATTTTAATGTGTGCTTTCAAATTTAAACAATTTGTTTATTCCTTATTAGTATATATTGAGTTTTTCAAATAAAATTCTATTCATAAATTGTCGGAAGACAGTGTAGCTTCCTTCTCCCAGTCATAAGGGAATTCACTAACTCCTTTCCTTTTCATTGCGCTTCGTAATGTACTATAGATCATATCATAATCCGGCTCATCGAAGAACATGAGTGAATCAATGTGGCTGAAATTAATCAGTTAATTTATCACAGTTTACGCGCCCCAGGATAGTATCTCCGGGCTATTTGTGTAACCTCATCTTTCGTGTGATATTAAAACTACCGCGTAAAGAGCGAGAATACAACATCGCATTCGAAATGGGAAAAAAGCGCTCTGAAAATCTAGGCTGAGTGTCCTTCGAATCTGCCTTATCTGCAAGAAAGTTCGCCTAGCCACGACCAACACAGAATCAGAGGTGCGGTACTCGGAGCCGAGCCTCCGCCTACCTTCACTTTTGAGCTGGTACAAGGTGACCACCTTCACTTTTGGGTTTTAAAAAATTTTTTTGCTGGTCAAAAGAAGGAAAATAAGCAAAAGGAACGCAAAAGAAAGTATTGAGAGCATACAGTCTGCTCCAACTGGGATCAGGCCGAACCGTCGGCGTCAATTTGCGCGCTCGCAGCGCTGGCGGTCTGCGCTGCGTATGCGCGCTGACGGAAAGAGCAGAAAGATTGCAGAGAGATCAGAGAAGCAGGCCGTGGGCGTGACCGCGAAACTCTAGCGACGCGGACTCCCGCCATGCCAATTCTGGCCTGGTTGGGATTGGGGCAGACTGTATATCTGTGTAGTACGTCGATCCAGGGAATAAGCGCCGAGAACCAGAACTTCGAATGATAAAATACACTGATATAAATCTGATGGTTGTAGATGTCAGCAAATGCGACTTCATAGTTTTTGAAGGGCAGGTGTACTTCTATAGTCGTCCTCCCCCCACTAGACACCCAGTGGACGAATTCGAATTTGAACTAGAGCACGCCGGTTGCGGCAGAGCGTGGCACCAGGGCCCGGCACAGATCGTCTGGAAGCAGGCTGGACTTCGTTTTTAAAGCAAGCAGCAAAAGGGATATCGTTTTTGACGAGTCGGAACCGAGCACCAAGAATAAGCGCCATCTGGTCGAACACAAGCTTTCCGGACATGTTATCACACGACTGACATGCTCTACCGTGTATGGCGAAAAGTGCGCGCGATTTGAAAGCAAGGCTAAAATGAAAAAATTGCTTGTTTACAGCGCACACAGAATCATATGACACCAAAATTGGATTGTATGTATAGAAAATTATTTACGAAAGATTTATGTAAAAAGATCTGAAAACTTATGTGAAGTAATACCTTTTCCAAAATTAGATCGTCTCCAGACGGCCACCAGACGATCTGAGATCGTCTGGAGCATATATTTTCGTCACTTCACATAAGTTTCGGCTCTTTTTAGCATGGACGGATTCCCCGGTCAAAAATCTATCCCTGAGCATGAAGACATTTTCATATTATTGCCTTTCCTTTGTTTTTTGCCTTTATTTATTCTCGCTTTGTTAAATATCGCGCTCTAATGCCAAAGTCTTGTGTATGCGTAGTATTCACCTCCAATTTGGATTTTCACTCTTATCTTACGTCTTTTCTTTCAGACTAGTAAATCTTTCTTGTTTTAATCTTCTTCTAAGCAGGTAGGTCAAAGGGGACTTCGTAAAACTTCCGAAAGTCGGGGGAGACTTCGTTTTCAGAAATCCTAGGAACTGACTTGTGCCGGGCCCTGCGTGGCACCGTCAAATTCATTCCAAGCTCTTGCAGTGTTCTTTTGTATATCTCGTCGTTGCATGGTAATTCATTTATCTCAATGGCGTCTGTAATCAGAATTGACGAGTTTGCTGTTGTTTAGCGATGTTTCATACCTTATGCTTCTCTCTAGCTCTATTTTCAAATAAAGTTGAAAAAACAGCACGAAACATCCCTCAAAAGCAATACAATCTCCAATCTCAATTAAGAAGACTGTTAGCATTCAAAAAATTGCATAAAACGTTGGAGAAATGCAAAGAAAAACTTTGAGTTCGAATGAAAAGCCGAATGTGCCGCGCTCTGCCGCAACCAGAATGCTCCAGTTCAAATTTGAAATCGTCCACTGGGTGTCTAGTCGGGGGAGGACGACTATACCAGACAGTGAAAGAATTAGGTCGATCTGAGCAGTGGCCGCCGAGAACGAGAATTTTAAAAAATTGAGCGATTTTAGGTTACTTAGTGGCAGTTGACAATTAAACTCATATAAATCTTGAATGTAAAAGTGTGTGATGTTGCGACTCCATAGGTTTTGTAAAGTAAGGCTTGCCTCATCAGAATTTATCTTAGCCATACTGATCCATTAAGATAACGCTGAGATTCAGGCTCTCAAAAAACAGGTAAAAAAGCTTCTTGAAATTCAGCAGCTCATAACTCCTTCAGAATTGCATGAGTTGTTGCGAGTTCATGAGTTGGATTAGAGCTTCCAGATGATCTAACCTTTGATTCAACTGGCTTGACTCTGTTACGGCGGGGTTTTGTGGTCTAATTGAGGCCGCTCGCGCCCGCGACGCACCTGCATCTCCCTCGCGCGAGTGTTCTCTGATCACCGAACTTTAATTGAGTCACGAAGCCCCACCTTTGCCGAAGCCAAGCCAGTGGAATCAAATGGTATAATATGTGGGGGTTTCGCGCCTCTAACGGCTTATGCCCGGGGGTGGAGACTTTTCATCATAAGGGATCGTTCATACCGCGCACAAAGGCGGACGAAGCCGGACGAAGCCGGACAAAGCCGGACAAAGGCGGACGAAGGCGGACGAAGCCGCACAAAGGTGGACGAAGACATGTGTGAGTGTGTGTGTGTCGAGAGAAACGAGACGAGGCGTGTGTGAGTGTGTGTATGTGTGTGTCGAGAGAAACGAGACGAGACAAGACGCGCCTTCGTCCGCCTTTGTCCGGCTTCGTCCGCCTTCGTCCGGCTTTGTCCGGCTTCGTCCGCCTTCGTCCGGCTTCGTCCGCCTTCGTCCGCCTTTGTGCGCGGTATGAACGATCCCTAAAATCTGCAGTGACGGCCTCCAGCCTATACATTGACATGGGCGAGGTGGAGACTTTGGTATGAAAAGTCTCCACCCCGGGATAGAGCCGCAAAAACATCCGTCGAACCCCCCCCCTCCACATATTAGATATCATCTGAAAGCTCTTGAAGAGGAGAATCCAACCTATGAAGTAACATGATTTACGCAATTCTGAAGAAGTTATGAGCTGTTAACACGTTGACGACGAGCCATTTTTTTGAGATCTGTCCCTGTGGACGAGACGTTTCCATGCATCCCTACGCGTGGCCCATGTATGTATGCATGCATCCATGCACGAAGTACAAAATGTGCAAGCCCCGCCCCCTCTGACAAGCCCCGCCCACTCGACCAAAAATGTCGGAAATTGCCCAAATTTCAAGTATTCATGCAAATTCTGCCACTTTAGAAAAGTGGGCGGAGCTTGCCACTTAGGGGGCGGGGTTTGCCTGACGGTGGACGGGGCCTGGCTAAAAGTTGCCTGAGGTCTTTGCATTCACCTACAGCCTCATCCATGCTTTTTATGGACAAAAAAGGGTCCTTGTGAGAGGCATAGGAGTGGGCGGAGCTTGCCAAAAGGGGCGGGGCTAATACATGAAGTACATCTGAGCCTATGTTGATTATATGAACAAAAACTGAGAGGATTGGACAGATAGTATTGAATTTAAGGCCGCCGCGCACCATTGCGCGGCGTCGTCCACAGGGACAGACTGCCTGCCGCGCACCATTGCGCGGCACTGTCGTCAACGTGTTAAAGCTCAAAAAGCGCTTTTTAACCTGTTTTAAAGATCCTGGATCTCGGCGCCTTTTCAATGGATCGATACGGACTTACTCTACAAACACTGTGAAGCCGGGGTGAGTGACTTTTCATACGATAAATAATTCCGAGGCGCGAGGTGTGAACACCTACGGCTAAGTGTCAAGTCTCGCACCTCCGTGTCTAGTACACTGCACGAGGGGGGGGGGAGAGAGGTTGAGGGGGACTTTTCATTTGAATGCCCCTACATCATCTTTTGGCAGAGATCCAGTAAAAAGTGGCATCATGCCGGATTTGGGTCTGCTGGCTCCATTCCAAAAAAAAACAAAACATCTAGACTAGCTTTTGCAATGAAAACTTGAATGCTGTATGAATCCAAAAAGTGTCATGCTGTAAAAAATAACATTATAATCGTTCTACTTACGAATTTTCTGGTATTTAAGTCGACATGATTCGGTTTTTCTTTTGCAAACTTTTGAACTGATTTGAATATTGTAACATGCCTCTCCGACCTTTTAGTATGACCTTGAAGTGCTACTCTTCCCATATGGAATACTGGAGGGGGAGACGGTCAAGAGGCGCAATTTTTCTGGGTGTCAGCTACTTAAAACTCCAGTTTCATGCTATGGGAGAATTCAAAAAGTGCCGAACAAAGTTCATTTGCTTACCAGCTGTTTGAAGTAACCACTTGATAAGTTTGACGATTTTTGCTAGACAACTGACAGATATAATTACAAAATTGCTGTTAACAGCATTTTCAGTGTTTTTGACCTTTAAACCTTTAACAATATTGTTTGAAATCGATTTCAACATGATGAGATCGAACAATCCCTAAATTCTCTAATATAACTCAATACTTTCGAAATTTCAATTCAAGTAATTCCAGAACCATAAAACACTAAATATGTGCTATATGCTGCCCATCTGGCAATATAAATCGCGCCTCTTGACGTATACCCATTGGAGGGCACGCGACTCGATAAAGCGAACTACTTCATTACCACAATTGTGCCAATTGTTTGCGAGATGAATTCGCTGTGGCCTGACGATCTTTACTATGATACGCTATTCCAAAGCTTTTCGAGTTTTTCATCGTTTTGTGCACCCCACCACCGCCCGGTAAGCTTTATACAACAGATAAAATCACGATATTTGATAATAAACGTATTTTTGACAATAAACGTTTCATTTTAGTCCATTGTGATCGATAACTGGTCGTATTACCAGCAGCCTAGAATAGCTAGAAGTGATCGGGGAGCGTTTGTATGAAAAGTTCCCTTCCCCCCCCCCCCTCACCTAGGCGTAGTGGAGAATCTTACTCATTACTTCGATGGAGAGGTGCGATGTAGGTGTGAGGTAGGTGCGAAGGCTATGTGGGAAGTCCCCGATCGTATGAAAATCCTCCCCCCCCCCCCCCATGAAGTCGCAACACACACACTTTCACATTCAAAATTTACACGAGTTTAATTGTCAGCTGTTATTAAACACGCTAAAATGGCGTAATTTTTTTAAAATTCTGGATTTCGGGACTATCTCTCATCGACTCGATTTTTTCAGTATCTGATAGAGCACCATTTACTCTTCAAAACAGCAGTCGCAATTGCTGATATCTTCAAACACCAGATTTATAGCAGTGGAAAATTCGCATGATTTTTCGTTATTTTATTATTCAAAATTCTGGTTCTCGGCGCTTATTTCCTGGATCTACCTACTTTCTCCGCAATACGTTATAACCAAAATTCACTTAATAAAGTAGGTAAAGTATAGCTGAGCTTTAGTCGACAGCGAGTTTCTAAAAGTAAATTGAACCAGAAAATAGCTCTAAGTGGCCTTTGAATTTGTTCTTCTTATTTCTCCTTTTTTTATAAAGAAGTTATTAACTTTTGAGAAAGAAATTTTTTGCGAAAAGAGAAGTCAAGCTGTGCTTCCTCCTCCCCCCCCCCTCCCTCCCCGGTCGACGTACCTTCACTTTTGGCCGGCCAGTGGTAGCTGGACTGGAGCCCGGCTCCACCTATCGCATTTTTGCTCAGAACCTTAACGAGCAGCAGTCAAGCGATGTGATTGATCGAAGGAGTGACATATCGATATCGACAGTACATCGGCGAGGCGAACCGGCATCTTCATAACGGAGACATCGCCTGCTTGTGTTGGATCTTTGGCTAGAAATCCAATTGCATCTGTGAGCTAAATTGACACAAAGAGGACCAACTGGTGGAAGCTTTACGTAAGTCAGGGATGTTTTCAAAACCTTATTCGTCAGCTGAGAAGGAACTACCTATGGAGACGATTACTTCGCAAATACGATCAAGGGTCGCATAGGTCTTTAGCACCCAAACATGACGCCCTTTGCCGACAAGCGGATCGGGTGGAGTTCAAGTCAGTTTGAGAAGTAATTAAGAAGAAACAAGCTCACAGGACCTGGCAACGCTTTTACGCAAACGATGACTTCCGTTGTCGCTAACTGGAGAGCGAAGCAGTAACCGAGGCAAATGAGGCACACATAAGCTTTACGAAGAAACCAACTGGCTGCTGGCACAGTGGCGGTCCGAGAGATCTCTTGTTTCGACAAATTTTTTTGAGTGAACAGGGTTAGCCGCATCTTTCAAGAAATTCCAGGATGCTTTCCGAAATTCTCGGGCAGATAACCCCAAAATTTGAAAAAAGGATGGGGGCAACCACAGAGCTGATTCAAGTTCCAAAAAAAGTCTGAAAAATCATTTTGATTGTCAGCCAAATTATGGAAAAACAAGGGCAAGTCAAGACAGCTCAACATACCCATACCCTGATGTCACACGATGAAGACTATTGAATCATCGATGCGCATAATCGAAATATCATGGAAGTGACTCCAAATCAGTGGTGAAAGGACGTGAACATCAAGCATTCATGCCGTATTATCAGTAATGGAATGTCATGAAAAGCGGATTCCGTTTCATTTCGCCTTTTTTGGATTAAGAAACAGCATTCGACCGAGGGCCTCAGGGCTGATTTGCTGATCTGCTCCAGTTCATGCATGTACATCAAGTATCGGATTTAACGCTTGTGCTTTTCATATAGTGCATGATACGAAGGTGAGGGACATTTGACTAGCATACTCTTTTCTACGTGGATGACGTAGAGTTAGCAAGCGGATAGGGACAGCGATTTTCTAGGTTGGGAAGGCAACTGAAAGATGGCAGAGGCGTCTAGCCGAACGGTTTGCACTGAAGCTGGGAGAGATGAGTACTGAAATGTAGGGAGCAAATCGACGTAATAATCAGCATTGACGTGCTAAAGAAAGTCATCCTTTCATAACACCTAGGTGAGGACCGGATTGCGAAACACAGATCACGCGCTCGCGAATGCGGCTTGACTAAAATCTTTTACGGTACAGGAGTACTTTGCGACCTTTCGACAATGACCGCAAATGGAAAGTTTATTGGACAGCGGCACGACTTTTGTACGGCATGGGTCCCCCATTGGTACCACGGTGCTGTGCCTCGCATTCTTACTTGCCTTTGACGCCTTTAACGCCTTTCTCCGAAAGCATCCCAGTCTTAGGTGTGCTAACGCAATAAAGGCAGCAAATGGGCTGCGTTGCGGTTGCGATGACCTATATAATATCAGACTTAGGCTATAGTTCTACCGCGCATATAAGTTGCTGTAGCACTCTAACTTGACGCAATCAAGCGTCACTTCATGCGCAATCAGTGCTGACTGCGTTCAAGTTGGAGTCTCTGGGCAAGCCAGAACCCCTCACTCCGCACTTTGTTCTCCTCCTCACATCCTTTATGCGTGATCTGGCAAACATTACGTATTGGAGATAGGAAATTACGCTATACCGCTGAACCACCTCTCCTAGGCAAAGTATAAAAAGCTCACACTACTGCTTAAAACAATCGTCAGAACAGCACCCACTTCAAGATCTTCTTATACTCTTGTGTTGGACACAGGATTAGCATCTCACTCAAAAGTGGTTCTTGCCTTGAGTCCATCTTCATCTGCCCTACCTAAACATTATTGAGTGAACTCGAAAAAGCTTAAGGTTGGACTCGAAAAAGCTTAAGGTTGGCTTTTGAAATCCACTCAAAAACTGTATCTGTTTACTGCTTCACCTCTTCTATGGAAATATACTTGCTGATATACGAGTACATTGGTCAGGTGGCTGTCGCTAATTTTCTCTGATAATTTTTGTTTTGAAACACCAGTGCATAACAGTTAACATAACAGATTGGACGGTCAACATAGTTTCTTTTGTGTTGCCAACAATATTCGCACAAAATGTACCGTACGCCCTACGCGCAAGTCGCAAGTAATGTCGCCACTGTCGCCACGCATGACAGTTGTTTTGCATAAATGTTGTTGCCGCCACAGGGGCTATCCTAAGCACCATACCCACTATAAACCCCCCACTATGGTCCGCCGACTCAAACGGCGGCGGCGCTAGGTGTCGAACTGCAATATATAGCTTGGGAGGCCCTGGTAGGGGCCTTAGGGGTTCAGCGTTTCCGGTTCTGGCCGGGCCTAGCTAGGGGTATCAGGCCAAATCCCCGCCATCCGGCCTTTGATCGTTAGGCGGTCCCCGCTCCATCGGGGTTAGCAAACGCTCCGTGGAAATCAAGAGTAGCCCTAGTAAGCCTGCTTTTGTTACGGAAAACTCCTACTCGATCAACTAGAAGAAGATAAAGAAACCCTGCACATTATGTCTCGCTCACAGCGACGAGTGGTAGCAAGATCGATGACAGAGCTTTCAGGAAGCCTTTCGAATTAACAAAAACAACATGCTTTCCCGGACAATACCATAGAGATTGCTTCATGTTCTACACCTACAACGCCAGGACAGCACAAACGCCGACCTCCACGCTCTTTCCGACGCTGCAGAGCACATCAAGTACCACATCGTCCCTGCAGAGAACAAAGACAAGGAAGAAGGACGTGCGACAGATGAGTGATGGAATCCTCATCATTTGTGAAGAGAAAGTTCCATCACGAAAGGTTGATGGCCTTGGTTTTGTCGTCCACCCATATATCGTCCATCTCGTCGGTTCGCATGAGATCCTGTCCGCGACTAGCCATCCTTCGACTACGACCTCTACGTCAGGGGACCATCAGCGCGATAAACTGCTACTTCCCAACATAAGCAGCTGATGACTCAGAACTAGGTGCATTCTATGAAAACATGGAAGAGGTCTTCCACAATGAGATTACAATTTATGGCTACTTCAACCGTTGGGATGTTTCTAGAAGAAGGTTATTGATGTGCATATCTCTTTTTTCAAGTAACTGTGACATATGAAAAGTGTTTGCTTTACCCAGAGAATGAGTTTGTTGACGGCATTTGTTACAGATGTTTTTAAGGGAGATTTGTTTCGCCCAACCAAAGCCTCCGATATGTGGTTTTAAAGTAGCCACAAAGTAAAATGTCAGGGGTGAGGTACTACTATACTTTGTTCATCGGGCAAGGAGTTCTCTATACTTTTCTTATTGTCTTGGTAGATCAAACCGTACTTCTCTTATATCTGTAGTTCCTTTCCAAGGTAATTTAGCATTGGTGAAATCAACGAGCATATAGAACCTAAGCATAAAATTTGTTGTTACAGACCACTTTCTCAAAGCTCTAACCAGCTCTCTACGTCTTCCTTCCTACTGTGTTCTTTTCCCAAATGAGACGCAATCGCGGCATATCTCGGTGTTCCTCTGAAAGGCGCTTTCTTTCTGGGTTGTAGCATCACATTCTGAAAGTTCATTCTCAGGGTTTGAAAACCTCTCACATGTATAATGTTGAAAAAGTTAGTAATTATAGGTAGGAAAACCTCACATTTTTGTCCACAAATCTCCGACACATTCCAAAGTCTAGCAGGTAGAGTTTTCGAATATCTCCCGTTTCTGGGCGTCCAATGGCAAAATTACCTGGCTTTACATCCCTGCAATAGAAAATGCTCGGGCATTCAGTGCTGCCACATCGTGAGGTAGTTGTACGGCGTTGGGCTTTGTATTTGACTAACAAGAAAATTTTTTTACGGAAATAAGTTGTGTTAGGACATCCCAAAAGTTTTGCCCATTTGAGCGCTCTTCGAAATTTACAAAAACTGGCCGACGAGTAATTTGGTTTGCAAACAACAAACCTGTGCAAAAATCCTGCCCAGTGCAATTCTTCTAAGGCTTCCAAGCATTGAATTGCACACCCAATCGCTGGGCCAAGAGACAGATGTTTATCAGGACCAGTTTTCTTCGCTGCCTGGGAACTACCCATTAGTGGGTAGTATGGTGCAATAATTTCAAACCTGCAGCGATTTTCCCAGCAATTTCATTACGATGTAGTTGAATGTATCTGAATGACCCTTGTCTATTAAATCAGCCATATGCACAGCGTGTCGAGCTTGAAGACGTTGCATTACAAGCAATTCAAGACGAAGAAGCTGAACAAGGGTTTCTGGCGTTTTCCCGAACCGATATGAACTGCTTTGTTACCGGGACTTTTTCATTTATGCTCTCTGCCTTCAATGCGTATTTTTTACCCTTTGCATCTTTTACCTACAACACAACGGCATCCGATGACGGCTCGAGCCGATTTTACACGTACCTTATACACAGCTCCAAATGTTCCCTCTCCGAGCTTTTTGATCACCGTATACTTGCCAATAGTCTTGCCGACTTCGAGTTGAACTATCACAGGGGTAGACTTTTCCATCTGCTGTACCGACTCGTAGGAATCCAACTAACAAATGAAGCCGCTTTCTTTATACCCAACAGCATGGAGCACTATCAGTTTTATTTACAAACACTTCATCACCCAAAGCCATACAAAGCGAGGTGGAAAATGCAGAATAATTCTTGCAAAGATGTGGCTGATGCAGTCTGCCGGTACTCGCTGAGGAAAGAGTAATATTTTGCGTGATGTTATCATGAAGATTTTAAAAACATTCACGACAATACTACCCACCGGTGGGTCGTACGTGCTCTGCCGTTTCGGACAATACGACCCACCTTGTATTAGGTTGATGCATAATTCCTGCACCAAAATAGGTACAGACCGCAATAACTCGGAGTAATCCTATATCCCAAGTAGGATTCGATATATCATTTGATAGCGCAAGCCTAGCTCTACAAGATAGTGCTCAAATATCTACACCAGCTTTGATCCACGCGAAGTCTTGAGCCAAAAACTGAAAAAAACCATGCGTCCGAAAACCTTAAGACAGATCTTTAAAAAATTGTAACTTCGTTCAAAAAGCTTATACAAATTTTCTTTCTTGCTCACGCGTAGACGTTCCACATAAGACATTTATCTATGCGGTTGCTGTATTTTTTTCTCAACTAGACGATGAGAAAACGAAGTTTTTCATGTTTTTTCCAAAACAATGCTGAGATGTTCTAGCACTGACAGATGCATACTATAGGACCTTCAAAGTGTGAATGTGAATTTTCAGCTCTTTAGAGCAGCTGGTTTACGAGAAATATTGAATTTTTAGCAACTAGGCAAGAAAAATTTGGATAAGGAGAGCTAGATTCGTTATTTCTCGCGAACTAGCAGTTCTAGAAGGCTGAAAATGTAAAGTTTCATTGCTAACGGCATGTACTATACAACTGTTAATACTAGAACATCTCAGCACTAATTTGGCAAAAACATGAAAAGCTTCAAAAAACTTCGTTTTTTCATCGCTTAGTTGAGAAAAAAATACAGCAACCGCATAGATAAATGTCTTACGTGGAACGTCTACGCGTGAGCAAGAAAGAAAATTTGTATGAGCTTTTTGAACGAAGTTACAATTTTTTTAAGATCTGTCTTAAGGTTTTCGGACGCATGGTTTTTTTCAGTTTTTGGCTCAAAACTTCGCGTGGATCAAAGCTGGTGTAGATATTTGAGCACTATCTTGTAGCTAGGTTAGCGCTATCAAATGATATATCGAATCGTACTTGGGATATGGGATTACTCCGAGTTATTGTGGTCTGTACCTATTTTGGTGCAGGAATTATGCATCAACCTAATATAATAGTTACGAGCAGGGCCCGGCACGAGGTTGTCAAAAGGGGTTTTTGAAAACGAATTCCCCTTTGACCCAAAAACTGATCCCATTGAATGCGTAGTGAACACTTCATCCAAATTATTGAAGAAAAAAACAAAAACAAATTTAAAAAAAAAAACTGTAAAACTGATTACGCCCAATTCGGTGCTTTCGCAAATGTACTTAGAGATTTCTGCTGTTAGTTTGCGATAAACAGTGATGACTTTGAACACTCCTGGAGAGGCTCCTGCCTTTTCAGCTGTCTAAACAACATTTTATAAAGATTTATGTGCTAATTAGCAAGAAAATTGTGCTAGAGCGAGAGCGCTGAGTGGCACGTCTTCAGCTGGCTTCACTACAATTGTGCGATTCTCATATTCTTATGAATTCTCCACTCCACTTTCCAGCGGAGTGGAGAAAAGAGGAGGGAAAAGGTAGGAACAGAGTAAAAAGCTGTAAATGCTAGCAAGTAAGTGACGAAGTATCAAAAACGTCGATTATAGGATCCAGCGACGCCGTTATCGATTGGAGCACGCTTTCCTCCTTAGGAAACGGGGCTGCTGAAGTTATTTTCGGCTCTGGGAATGAGGAGAGGAGGAAGTTTGAAACCAAAATGTCAAGATATGCTAAGCTTTAGGTGTAGAGCAGATTTATGTAAAAATTTTGAGAAAATTATGTAAATTGAAAGTTTTGCCAAGCTTGCTTGTCATTAGATTGTCAAATCACAACCTAATTTGGAAAAAAGTTGGGCACGCTCTTCATTCACATAAGTTTTCCATAATTTTTCATACTTTGTTCTTTAGTCCTACTGCGCATATACACACCAAATCCCGCACGATTTCGTCACCTCTGCATTGCAAACGAGCCATTTTTTAATTTTTTGGTAGTGAAAAAAGCTTGCCACAACCTTCAGTCACACGATGTTTCAATGAAACTTCTCAGTTGACCCCTACGTGTTCATGTAAGTACCAAGTTTCATACCATATCGTCGTGTGTGGTTGCAAACTAGCCATTTGAACTCACATCTTCAGTAACCGTTTGAGCAAAATTTTCGGAATAAAATGCTTGTTACTCCTTCAGTTCACATACGTTTTTCATAATTTTTCGTTGTTTCCGCTAGCCTCTCTTAGTCCGCTTACGGAATTGTGCCATATCATTACGCATACACTGAGAACTAGCCAAGTCTGTTGTTACAAATGGCATCGTTTAAGCGACGTCGCGCGTGCGGCATATTAGCGACGGTGTGGTTTGACGCGCGCGAACTCCAATGGTTGCCGGTTGAGGCACATAACATGTTAAGATAAGCAGAGGGCATGAACTACCAATTTCTTCCAGCGCTTCGCCGCGGACCTTCAAAAAACGATCTCTCCTTTGCTTTTTTACCAAAAACGATTTCGAACTTGTCGTTTGCCGCCCTCGAGCTGGATCCTGGTTACGAGATCAGGTCACAATATAAATTCTTTTGAGCTAACTTGTATCATACATCATTATGTTTGCACTAGTCTATTATATTCTGAGCAAGACTACCGAATTTCGAGCGAGGTTTGCTCCAGAGACGCAATGCGCTGCTATCTTATGGATCTTAGAAAGCATGATCCCGTTTTGCCTCTGCCCCTAGACAAGTAGAATACAAACACTAATTACCCCCGAGGCTCATTACTGGAGGTGTGATGAATGTGTCAGTGCTGGAAACTGAGGGTTTAGGCTCCGGGAGGAGTTACCTCCCTTCGCGCTCAAGTTTTGTGCCTCACAGAACCCTCCGGTGCTAAAGTGGCACGGCGCCACAATAGGGGGATGGGGGGTGGCGACAGATACATGACTCGATGCCATAAGTAACACTGCGGCAAAAGTACGGGAACTAAAGTCTCTACTGCTTGACGTCGCGGCGTCGCTTCGTAAAAAATCGTGACTCCTGACCCGTACCCGGGGTTCATATAGTAAATAAAGTAGGGCAGATTGGCTAGGGGTGGAAGGGGGGAGGGTTTCAAATGATATGAGATCAAGCACGTGCCAATTGATTATCCATCGTTTGAACAGACTTCTAATGTCCTTAAATTTTTTACTTTGAGTATTTGTATTTTACCTAAGTGCTTTTACTTGAGTGTTGGATCTCATAAATTTCAAAAAGGCGCCGATTATTTTTTTTGTAATACAATCTTATGAACTGTGTTCCAAGTTAACTAAACCTACATTTGAAACCTGTGAATTATGTGCGAGTTCGAAATATTCCAAGTATTTCTGTGTACACGATTGCTATCTTCTGTTTGTAACTGATATGTGAACTACCATGACTAATTCTATAAAAGTTTAGATCGAAACTATCAGTTTTGTTGTATTGTCGGGTGACTATCTCATTATTGGTAATTCCAATATTGAGATCTAGATTACATTTATGTGTGTTTATCTGTGCGGTTTTAGGTCTGATTGTGTCAGGTAGCATCTCAGGTGTCAGGTAGCATCTCTAAAATTTCTTCAGCACTATAACTGTGTATAATGAGGATGTCATCCATATACCTAAAGGGGTTGGAATATATTTCCATCTGTGAACTTGTTTAGAGCGTAACTGCATTCCGGGTAGGACAATGTTGAATCTGCAATTATCGGGCTGGCATTAGCAATACACTTGGTTTAAGTAATCTGTTTCCAAGTGTACAGTAACTGTCATTAAGTATGTAATCTATCAGAAAGAAATTGCCTTGTATTCTGTAGTTTCTGGCATTTGATTTTTTGAGGATGTTGGTGTCGGTCTGTTCCCTTTGATAGTTAGATATTCAAAATTTGCATTACGAAAGCATGTCTCTAGGATTTTTCTAACATTATCCCTAATGGTTTTATGTGATATGTTTCTAAACATGTAGGTAAATTCTCCGGGTAGTAATCTCAAATTGTTATCTTGAATATCTGTAAGATTGTGTGATATATCTATGTTTGTATAGACCAGTAAGTTTGTAAACAATTTTTGTTTTAACACGTTATTGGCGTAATTTTTGAAATGGGTACGTATATGCGTTAGGAGTTTGAGCAGCTCGATGGCGATTGGTTTAACACTACTGCTAGCCGCTCCGGTAGTAAATCTGAACTTAATGGGGTTTTTATGAAGTTTAGAGATGTAATAAATTTTGGGGATGTGGCTTTGGCTGAAAGATTTCATTTTAAGAGCTTTTATCTTGCCCATATGTTGATTCAATATTTCTTCAATATCAAGGTCGTCTCTAATCTGCTATATAAGGCTGTTTTGCACATTATTGGTAATTGGTCGAGGTATTTGCATATGTTACAATTATCCTTGCAATTATTGCCTTTATGTGATGTTCCGAAATTCAGCAAGTTGTATGAGCCGTTTACCAACGCCGCTAAAAGCATCTAAGACTTGATGCTTGATTCTGAATATTGTCTTAGGCCTAGATCTAAGGCAAGTAATGGCTTCATCTCTACCAGAGGGAAGGTTACTCAAAGGTTTCGGAAGTTTTGCCTCCTAAGGGCGGCACTCCCAAGGAATAGTACTACCGGGAGCGTAACACTTACCCTCCCATGCCATTGACTAGTCTCATATTTGTGCGTAAGACTATGTAAATGGGTCACAAGAAGGTGTGACTAAGTGACTGAGTGCAAAAAGTAGAAAAAAAAAAAGCTCAAATCCACCAAGGAGTAAGCTAATACAATCTAACCCCCTTATGTTTGATAGCTAATCAGTATTTAGTTAGCCTT